TGAAAGTCTGAAGAATACTTCTGCACTGCTGAGGAGTGCATGATCAGCGCGTGACCATCCTTAAGATACACCCTGGGGAGGGGGGGAGATCCAGGTGCCTTTATAAGCTTTGGAACACTTGCAATAAATGAGTCTCTGCCTGACTAAGACTCCCTGTTGCGTCTGAGTGTCCCCGGGTAATGGGGGCGGCATGGTCTGGCGAAAGGCGTGCTTACTCATCCCCAATCCTCACCTCACCGGGGGTTGCAGGTTCGAACCCCCGGCACCTGGCACCCAACATGGGTCTCGAAAGAAGGTGAAAAGAAGAAAAGAAAGAAGTAAGAAAGAAGTGAAACAAATTAGGGCCAATCGGAGGTTCGGGGTAAGCAAGACCCTAAAAAATGCGTAATGCAATTTCTAAGTTTGAAGACCCAGCACTCAAAGCACTGAGATATGCTTAAAAGCAGGGGACTGGATTTGTCAGATCCCGTAGCTCAAAAGGTTTGGGCAGAGGCGATTCATTTGGCTCCCTGGCTACTTGGGGTTAATGTTTTTACTGGGGTTACATGGAAATCATGGGAAGGGTTAGAGGAAGAAGGCAGAGATGCAACAGAAGTGAACCCAAAAGTGGCCAAAGTAACAAGCTGCACCTTGGGAGTGCCCTGGCCAGCTGCAGAGCCTCCCGGGCAGAAGGGCGGGGTGGAGCAGAGCGCACTGGTCGGTGGCAAAAGCCGCCCACCCCATCCACCTTAAACTAATGCATGGTGGGCCACACACACACACACACACACACCCCACCAGTGACCACCTGGGGCATTTAAATAAAACAAAAAACAAAAAACCAAAAAAACAAAGACCTTTGGCTGTGTGCCTCGACCCGTTCCAGGACAGCTGAAAAGGCCTGGGGGAAGGTGGCTCAGGGAGGGGCCCCACCCCTTCAGTTCCATGGGTGGCCAGGGAACCACCCCACCCCTGAGTGCTACAGCCCCTCTGGCAGCAGCACTCACCAAATCCCAGGCCTGGGGAGCCCTTAGTAAAGCCTACAATGTTTTCACTGACTGGGGCAGATGTGGAGAAACCAAAAAGCAGCTCAATTCAAGGAACTCATGGCCATTGCTTTCTGACAGTATTCAGACTCATACGCTCCTTAAAGAGAGAAAAGCCCCTATCTTTTTACAGCATCTTAGGGGGCACCAAGGATTGCCTGGGCTTTTATCCCAAGGCAATGCAGAGGCAGCAGGTACCGCCTCTGCAACAGCCAAGGATAAACCCCAGGGGACTCAAATCCAATTCCTTGTGGCAAACGGATGTCACACACTATGCTCCTTTTGGAAAGCTTAAGTATGTTTTTGTATCCATTGACACATTCTCACATGCCTGTTGGGCTACCGCTCATACAGGAGAGAAGTCTAAACATGCTCAGACTCATTTTCTCCAGTGTTTTGCTATGTTGGGCTTGCCCCAAAGAATTAAAACTGATAATGGACCATGTTTTGTGAGTAAAAATTTACAAGACTTCTTCTCACTTTGGGGAATTCAACACAATACAGGAATTCCCTACAATCCCCAAGGTCAAGCCATTATAGAACACAACCATCAAAACCTAAAAATTCAATTACAAAAACAAAAGTGGGGAATAAGCCCCCACCAACAGTTGGGTATGGCCTTATTCACTATTAATGTTCTTAATTTTCAAAAAAATCAGTTGGAATCCAGGTTTCAGAAGCACTGGGGACGACAGGAGCAGAGACCTGAGGTATGGGTAAGATGGAAAGATCCCATTACCAGGCAATGGAAAGGACCAGATCCATTGCTAACCATGGGTCGAAGCTTTGGGTGTGTCTACCCTACAGGAGATTAAAACCCCATATGGGTGCCTGCGAAAAACCTTAGGTGGGTAGGCCAGGATCTGACTGACTAGAATGATGGTCCATGGACAATAATTCACGAGAAAAAATTCCTCTCTTTATTTGTATCCATCTGAAGTGAAGGACCCAGTTCCTTGACTTCATTGCAGCCTCTTTGACAACTGGCTGATTGGCTAAAAGGTACATGGTCTCAGAAGTATTTCAACTTGTCCTATGCCATGACTTGCTTTGTTTCTCTTGATAATGCCTACCTTTAAGTGTCTTTACCTGCTATTTTGGTGACAGAGGACCCTAGGAACTGCCACAGCCCACCTCCTCATGATTAC